AAGCTTTAATGCGCGTTCGGGACTTACAGGTCTAGACGCTTAATTGCTTGCTTGTTTGACGGCGACATCTTCTTCTTCTCCTCTATTCCTAGTTGTTTCTTGCTCTAAGGGGAAGCAGACAAAGGAAAGGTAGGAATGATGTTATTTTTCTCTCTATTGTTTTGATAAAATCCAAAACCCTAACAACTATGCACTAGTAGGTGATTTAGATAAGGGTTTTAGTTTATTATGAACTCTTATCCCATCTTATCTCCTTACTAACCCTAATTAATCCTCTACCCTATCCTACTAATAAGTTTTATTATTTTTTTACCCATAGTAATTTTCATTAATTCAGCAAAATAAAATAATAAAAAAATGAGCAAGGACGTGGGTTTTACTAGGGATGGCAATTTTCTACACGACCTGAAAACACGACACGAATCTAATACAAAATTAATGGGTTTGAGTTAAGGTTTCGCGGGTTCGGGTCAGAATCGGGTCGAACCCCAATGAATTCGAAAAGAAAACTGGTCGAATTCAGGTCAATCCGTGGGTAATCTGATATGACCCGATAACCTGTTTACGAATTAAAAATAATTTAATAAACATAAAAATTATTTTATCTAACTAAACTCAGTTTTTTTTTTGCAAAGGCATTAATCACTTAATCCTAAATGAATTTATTTAACTTGTGTGAAGTTGAAATTATTATATTTGGACAAATAATGTATTATATTATTTTTTACTTTTATACTGTTTTAATTTATTTCATATTTGGTTTGGGATAAAACATTTTTTCGGTGTTTTAATTTATTTTAGATTTGGTTTGGGATTATTTATTTAAATTTTATTACTTGATTATGTAATTAGTCTTATGCGAAATTAGTTTTATTAGAAATGACAGTCATAAATTAATAAATTAAAATTAAGTTTCGGGTCATTTCGGATCGACCCGTCAACCTGAAATTTTCTGGTTCGGGTTAGGTATCCCGACTCTTTTTGAGTTGTCGAGTCAGGTTCGAGTAGGGCTGTCAACGGTCCAGATCTGGACCCGGACTCGGCTCGGATCCTCCAACATTTTTCGGGTACGGGTAGGTATATAGATCCGCGACTCGGACCCGGATCTGGAACCGTTTTATCTAATAAATTCACGGGTCGGATACGGAATATACCATTCCGGCCCATATAGGACCCGAACCCATTTTAATTATTTAATAATTAAAAAATATATACTTATCCATCTTTACTACTTTCATTCCCAAATTTTTCCAACCCCACTGCCGCACATCCCTTTTTCCCCTCACCCTTTTTTCTCTTTTGCTCTGCCTCTAGCCTCCCGCCTCTGCCAGTGACCAGTCCGCCGTGAAACACTGAAACCGGCGACGCTCTCAGCCCTCTGACTCTCTCCATCTTCAGCTCCAAAGAAGCCCAGCTCTTCCAGTCTCACTCTCTTCTCTTTTGCTCTCTCCATATCTGATGCTGGCGAGCTCTCTCCATCTCTGATGCCTGACGGTTGCAGCTCCAAAGAAGCCCAACTCTTCCAGCTCTTCCAGGCTTCTAGGAGCCCAACTTTCTTTCTCACAATCACAGGTATTTTTTTTTTAATTTTTCAATACCTGTGATTGTCTCAATAAATTAATTAGATTAATATGATACTTAACATGAAATGTAACTCAGAGTTTGTTGCTGTTAGTTTAAGGTAATTGAAATTAATTTGAAACTATCATCGTTGCTGCTGGAGTTCCTCAACTTTAATAGAAATTTTGAGGGCAGGAGATATCTACGTACTTAAAATCCGTGGACGGGTCAGTGACAAATTGCTAGGAGGGAAACTGAAAAGGGGAAATATTCATCTGCTGTATGTCCCTGCGTATTGGGAAACCCAGACATAATGCTAGATGTGTATAGATGTTTGTCTCTGCTGTATAAGGAGGAACCATAGCGTTTCTTTTTCTCTTTTTTTTGAGCCCAAGAACAATCCCGTTTGAGTTATCATTTTTCACGGCTCTCTACAACCTGTTATTTACTTTCTTCAATGTGTTTTTTTTTAAAATTTTTTGGGGGGTTTCCCAAAGTGTTTCTTCTGAGATTGATACAGGAGAAGATGTTCCCAAGGATGCTCCATTATTGTTTAGAAAATCCTTAGTCTTTCTTTACTGTAACGTTCGAGGCTGCTAGCCTATCCTCCAATAAGGAAATGTGCGCGTGTTCATGACTGTGGTAAACATGGGTTTAGAAGGACACCAGTTTTCCTTTTCTTAGAAGTAATTTTATACGCGGTCAATGTTCACAAATTTCCTGAAAATCTTCGCGAATATTTATGATTGCTAGTGATTGTGACTCTAACGCCCCTGATCAATATTGTCCCACAGTTAACCGTCTCATTGGGCCGTGGATTTTGTTCCTGGAGGTGGGGTTATCACAGTTGGTATCAGAGTCGACTCCCGACCCCGCTGTGCCAGCGAGGACGCTGGTAGGGATGGCAATGGGGACGGGTGCCCGCGGGGGTGTCTCGGGGCGGGGGTTGGGGCGGGGGGGAATTTTTTCCCCCCGCTTAGAAACGGGGCGGGGGAGTATACCCCCGCCCCATCCCCTGCCCCGCCACCCGCAAAAAAAAAAAAATATATAAATATATATATAATATGTAAGTTAATTAGTTATAAACTTATGATAATGATATTATTAGTTATATGTATTATATAATGTATATTAGTTTATGTAATATAATTGATATTATCAATTATATGAATAATTATACATGTCTACTAATAGAATTTATTAATTAGTTATACTAAATTTACTAATACATTTATACTAAATTTCTAATTACACTTAATAGAATAACATTTTTTTTTCAAAAAAAAGCACAAACACAATAATGAATTAGTGATTGCATTTGTACTAAAAGTGAAAACATGACTATTTTAGTTATATTTATTTCATCATATTGGATTGTATTCAAATAACTTCTGTTTGATTGTTTTTATGAGATTCAATTGTAAAATTACAATGAATAATAATTTGGTGATGTGTTGATAATTTAGTACTTGATTATTTATTAAAATTTAATAATAATAAAATTATATAATAAAATTTTATTAACCCCGCGGGTGCCGGGGAAGCGGGGCGGGGGCGGGGCGGGGCGGGGCGGGAGGAGCGGGAGGGGGGGACGGGGCCGGGGATGGGGGGAACTAATAGGCAACGGGGCGGGGGGCGGGGGACCCTTCCCCCGCCCCCCGCCCCAACCCCGCCCCGTTGCCATCCCTAGACGCTGGGTCCCCTAAGGAGGGTGGATTGTAACGATTCCACATCGACTAGAGAGGAAGTCGATTGTAACGATCCCACATCGGCTAGGGAGGAAATCCTGGGGCTGGTTTAATAGCCTGTAGTGGTCTCTCCCACCTGACCGAGGCCTTTTGGAGGGGTGCTGGGCCTCTTGACCTGCGGATTTGGGCTTTTCACTTGTTGTGGGCTATAACCCCACTTCCAGGAACAAAATTCACGTCCCAATGGGGCGGTTAACTATGGGACAGTATTGGTCAGGGGCGTTAGAGTTGGTATCAGAGCCGACTCCCGACCCCGGTGTGCCGGCGAGGACGCTGGGTCCCCTAGGAGGGGTGGATTGTAACGATCCCACATCGGCTAGGGAGGAAGTCCTGGGGCTGATTTAATAGCCTGTAGTGGTCTCTCCCACCTAACCGATGCCTTTTGGAGGGGTGCTGGGCCTCTTGACCTGCGGGCTTGGGCTCTTCACTTGTTGTGGCCTATAACCCCACCTCTAGGAACAAAACCCACGGCCCAATGGGGCGGTGAACTGTGGGACAATATTGGTCAGGGGCGGTTAACTGCTCCATTATTGTTTAGAAAATCCTTAGTCTTTCTTTATTGTAACGTTCAAGGCTGCTAGCCAATCCTCCAATAAGGAAATGTGCGCGTGTACATGACCGTGGTAAACATGAGTTTAGAAGGACACCAGTTTTCCTTCTCTTAGAAGTAATTTTTTACGCGGTCAATGTTCACAAATTTTCTGAAAATCCTCGCTAATATTTATGATTGCTAGTGATTGTGACCCCAAACGCTTTGGTCTCTTGGATTCGCCATTTTTGTCCAGCTATTGATAATTGGACTGGAATTTTCTACCAAAATTGGGAGTTGCATTTTTTTTCTTGGGGTAAATGAAAATTGCATGTGTTAACACCCAGCTATTGCCTTCTTCTTGCTTTTGTTATCTGTAAAAAAATAAAACGTATTGTTGCTGGGAGAAAAATGGGGCATAAAAGAACATGCAGTTGGACGGTATTGTTTGCCGGGTAGGCCCGACCCGGATCCGGGATCCGTCGGGTGCGGGTCTGATTGAAAGATAGGAGACCCGTCGGGTATTGGGGCCGAATCCGGAACTTATGCAGTATAACGGGTCTGGGTCCGGAATTATTAATTCCAGCCCGTTGACAGGCCTAGATTCGAGTCAACAGATTTTCTGTTATATCCGAGTCTTAACTCGACCCGCCAGCCCAATTTGGACCCGATTGTCATTTTACATAGGGCCCTATGAAGAATAGCGAATTAGATAGAAAAGCCAACATTTTTTTTCTTTCCTCCTATAAAACACTCCATTGTTGTTTCGCAAATTCTCTCACTTATTTAGCCTATTTTAGACTCCACAGGAGATAATGATGGTAGAGGAAGATGATGATTATGTTGAGTACATCCCAGTTGCAAAGAGGAGGGCATTAGAAGCCCAGAAAATATTGCAACAGAAAGGTAAATCTTCTACCCTGGAAGCAGAGGAAGCTGAAAAATTAAATCTTGTAGAAGCAAAGCCTAGTTTGCTAGTAAAGGCCTCACAGTTGAAAAAAGAACAACTTGAAATTAGCCCTACAGAACAAATGGTACAGTAGACCTCTTGCCATACTCCCGGATTCACCTTCCTTCTTACCTTTTCCTTGGTTCCTTTCCTGCATTTTCTGGATTTCTGCTTCTCCTCCTAGGAAGTATTCATCCATTAGTTGCCCTTTAACCTACAGGTTGGAACTTGTCCTGCTCACAGTCTCAGTTCTAACATTCATCTTCTGTAATTCCTCTCCTAAACCTATTCCCTTTGCTCCTCCTCCCTCCTTGGGGATTAGCTCTCCATTTTTAAAACCCCAGACAGCTTTATCCTTTGTATATCTGTTGTCTGACTGGTCTTTCTGTGGCGATCCCTTTCCCCTGCTTGCTCTCATCCACGGTCCATACTGGTTGTCTACCTTATTCTTTCCCACTCCCACCTCCACTTCGCGGCTCCTTTCACTGTGCCCCACTATCCCACATTTATAGCAAAAATCAGGGCACCTTTCATACCTGAAAGATAACCATTTAATAGTTCCATTTTCTTGGATCGTAGTTCCTCTCATCAAAGGCTTGGAGATGTCTGCTTCCACTGGGATTTTTAGGTGCCTTCCTTCCTTGCTTCCAGTTTGGGGAACTATCACTTCTCTTACTTCTTTGAAGACCTTCCCTATCTTTCGACCCACATCTTTTGATATCCAGTGCACAGGTAAATTCCAAACTTGGATCCATAGTGGTGCAGTTCTAAAAGCCCTGTCATCTTCCTCTATCCCTTCAGTCCATTTGTTTATCACCAGGATTTGATTATCCAAAATCCAAGGCCCGCCCCCTAAGATCCTTTCCCGTTCATTTTCAGATGGTAAGAAAAATTGAAAATGGTTGAGACCAAGTTCAACAATCTTCAGTTCCTTTGGGTACCCCCAAGCAGTGTTAACAAAATTTTTTACTCCCACAAAATTAGCCACTTTTTCCCCAACTATTTTCCCTTCCAAGCTTGCCTGACATTCTCTTATTGCAGTATTCACATCTCCAAGATCCAAAGCTGCTCCACCTAACTCCTCCTCAGACAGGGCAAACTTTCTTAATATGTCTGACAGCTCTTCCACCATCGCATTCAGAGGAAATACTTAAGGATTGTCACACTGATATCCTAACTAAACTAAACAACAACCCAAAGCTTAACAGAGAAGAAAAGGAAAAGAAAGAAAAATTCCCAAAGAAGCTGCTTGTAGGAAGCTAAAAACTAATATACCTGAATTAATGCACTTTCTTAGTCTGCAAGGAACTGTAGTAAATTGGATTTAAAGGTACCTGTCTCATGCATTAACTGGTGGCCTGGATACTCAACTAGGTGGAAGTGATCCACCTCTTTGTTCCACTACTAGGAGTGAACTTGTCTGCATTTCTTCTCGTAACTTTTGGTGTTCCTTACTTTAATGCGTATTTATTTCTGGTTTAGCTATGATGCCTCCTTTTCGCTTGCCTGAATTGGTTTTAACTTTCAGTGAGAAAACAAAGGTTTAATATCTCTAAGAATCCCTCCTTGTTAGCAGATTAGATACTTTTCCTAGCAAATGCCTAGTTCAAACACAAATTTTTGGAGCCAATCTCTAGATTTTTGAAAGATTGAACTCTCATATAGGACCATATAGGACCCGAACCCCTTTTAATTATTTAATAATTAAAAAATATAAACTTATCCATCTTTATTACTTTCATTCCTAAATTTTTCCAACCCCACCGCCGCACATCCCTTTTTCCCCTCACCCTCTTTTCGTTTTTCCTCTGCCTCCAGCCTCCCGCCTTCGCCAGTGACCAGTCCGCCGTGAAACACTGAAACTGGGGACGCTCTCAGCTCTCTGACTCTCTCTATCTCCAGTTCCAAAGAAGCCCAGCTCTTCCAGTCTCACTCTTTTCTCTTTTGCTCTCTCCATATCTGATGCCGGTGAGCTCTCTCCATCTCTGATGGCTGACGGTTGCAGCTCCAAAGAAGCCCAACTCTTCCAGCTCTTCCAGGCTTCTAGCAGCCCAGCTTTCTTTCTCACAATCACAGGTATTTTTTTTTATTTTTCATTACCTGTGATTGTCTCAATAAATTAATTAGATTAATATAATACTTAACATGAAATGTAACTCAGAGTCTGCTGCTGTTAGTTTAAGGTAATTGAAATCAATTTGAAACTATCATCGTTGCTGCTGGAGTTCCTCAACTTTAATAGAAATTTTGAGGGCAGGAGATATCTACGTACTTAAAATCCGTGGACGGGTCAGTGACAAATTGCTAGGAGGGAAATTGAAAAGGGGAAATATTCATCTGCTGTATGTCCCTGCGTATTGGGAAACCCAGACATAATGCTAGATGTGTATAGATGTTTGTCTCTGCTGTATAAGGAGGAACCATAGCGTTTCTTTTTCTTTTTCTTTTTTTTTTGGGCCCAAGAACGATCCCGTTTGAGTTATCATTTTTCAAGGCTCTCTACAACCTGTTATTTACTTTATTCAATGTGTTTTTTTTTTTTTAAATTTTTTGGGGGGTTTCCCAAAGTGTTTCTTCTGAGATTGATATAGGAGAAGGTGTTCCCAAGGATGCTCCATTATTGTTTAGAAAATCCTTAATCTTTCTTTATTGTAACGTTCGAGACTGCTAGCCTATTCTCCAATAAGGAAATGTGCGCGTGTACATGACTATGGTAAACATGGGTTTGGAAGGACACCAGTTTTTCTTCTCTTAGAAGTAATTTTATACGCGGTCAATGTTCACAAATTTCCTGAAAATCTTCGCGAATATTTATGATTGCTAGTGATTGTGACTCTAACGCCCCTAACCAATATTGTCCCACAGTTAACCGCCCCATTGGGCAGTGGTTTTGTTCCTGGAGGTGGGATTATCACAGTTGGTATCAAAGCCGACTCCCGACCCTGGTGTGCCAGCGAGGATGCTGGGTCCCCTAAGGGCGGGTGGATTGTAACGATCCCACATCGGCTAGGGAGGAAGTCCTGGGGCTGATTTAATAGCCTGTAGTGGTCTCTCCCACCTGACCGAGGCCTTTTGGAGGGGTGCTGGGTCTCTTGACCTGCGGGTTTGGGCTCTTCACTTGTTGTGGGCTATAACCCCACCTCCAAGAACAAAACCCACGATCCAATGGGACGGTTAACTGTGAAACAATATTGGTCAGGGGCGGTTAACTGCTCCATTATTGTTTAGAAAATCCTTAGTCTTTCTTTATTGTAACGTTCGAGGCTGCTAGCCTATCCTCCAATAAGGAAATGTGCGCGTGTACATGACTGTGGTAAACATGGGTTTGGAAGGACACCAATTTTTCTTCTCTTAGAAGTAATTTTATACGAGGTCAATGTTCACAAATTTTCTGAAAATCTTCGCGAATATTTATGATTGGTAGTGATTGTCACCCCAAACGCTTTGGTCTCTTGGATTCGCCATTTTTGTCCAGCTATTGATAGTTGGAGTAGAATTTTCTACCAAAATTCGGAGTTGCATTTTTTTTCTTGGGGTAAATGAAAATTGTATGTGTTACCACCCAGCTATTGCCATCTTCTTGCTTTTGTTATCTGTAAAAAAAAAAGTATTATTCCTGGGAGAAAAATGGGGCATAAAAGAACATGCAGTTGGACGGTATTGTTTGCCGGGTAGTCCCGACTCGGATCCGGGACCCGTCGGGTGCGGGTCTGATAGAAAGATAGGAGACCCGTCGGGTATTCGAGCCGAATCCGGAACTTATGCAGTATAACGGGTCTGGGTCCGGAATTATTAATTCCAACCCGTTGACAGGCCTAGATTCGAGTCAACAGATTTTATGTTATATCCGAGTTTTAACTCGACCCACCAGCCCAATTTGGACCCGATTGCCATTTTACATAGAGCCCTATGAAGAATAGCGAATTAGATAGAAAAGCCAATATTTTTTTTTCTTTCCTCCTATAAAACACTCCATTGTTGTTTCGCAAATTCTCTCACTTATTTAGCCTATTTTAGACTCCACAGGAGAGAATGATGGCAGAGAAAGATGATGATTATGTTGAGTACATCCCAGTTGCAAAGAGGAGGGCATTAGAAGCCCAGAAAATATTGCAACGGAAAGGTAAATCTTCTACCCTGGAAGCAGAGGAAGCTGAAAAATTGAAGCATGTAAAAGCAAAGCCGAGTTTGCAAGTAAAGGCCTCACAGTTGAAAAAAGAACAACTTGAAATTAGCCCTACTGAACAAATGGTACAACAGGAGAAAGAGATGATTGAGCATCTTTCTGATCGCAAAACTTTGATGTCTGTTCGGGAGTTGGCTAAAGGGATTACTTACACAGAACCATTGTTTACGGGGTGGAAACCGCCGTTGAATATAAGGAGACTGTCTAAGAAAGTGTATGATGCAATAAGGAAGCAGTGACATATTATTGTGGATGGTGAAGATATTCCTCCACCAATTAAGAATTTTAAGAATTTGAGATTTCCTGACCCGATTTTGAAGAAGCTGAAAGCGAAGGGGATTGTGCAACCTACCCCTATTCAGGTTCAAGGTCTTCGTGTTATATTAGCAGGAAGGGATACGATAGGCATAGCATTTACGGGTTCTGGTAAGACACTGGTGTTTGTTTTGCCACTGATCATGGTGGCACTTCAAGAAGAAATAATGATGCCAATTGCCCCTGGAGAAGGGCCATTTGGTTTAATTGTCTGTCCATCACGAGAACTTGCAAGACAAACTTATGAAGTTGTGGAGCAGTTTCTTGTACCCATGAGGGAGTACGGTTATCCAGAGTTAAGGCCATTGCTTTGCATTGGTGGAGTTGACATGAAGTCTCAGTTGGAGGTTGTGAAAAAAGGAGTTCACATTGTGGTTGCTACGCCAGGAAGACTCAAAGATATGCTTGCAAAGAAGAAAATGAATCTTGACAGTTGCAGGTAACTTTGTTCTCCTTGGACTTAACAAGTTGTATGTTGTGCTTGGTATTTTTTGCTCTCTCTGTTTGCCTTGTGAATCACATATTATGAAGCCATTTCCTTTCTAAGTACCAAGCTAATATTATCTGTATTTTTTGTGTTATATTTGGCACCAAATATAATTGGTGTCTGTTCTTAGTCCTTGTGATGATGACTGGTTCTGTGAGAAGCATATGCTCTTTAATGTCAGCTATTAGTTTTTGATTTGCATGATACTTTGCCATGTTAGAGGTCAATCTTAAGTGTTGAGAGGATTTGTGATCTCTGTGTTCTATTGGAAAATAGAAGAGCATAATTTCTTTTCAGATATTGTTATGTATGAATGCATGCTTTGGTTAAATGTAGAATGTGTAGACATCAATTGGACATACAACCATTAGGACTTTTTAGACTTTCTTGTACATTCCTTTCTGATTCTCCCACCCCACTTCTCATCATTTGAAATGATATCATTGAAATCCCCTGCAACGATCCACTTGTCTCCCTACAATTTGCTTCTTTCCTTAATAACTTTCCATTGTTCCTTTCCAATAAGAGCATCACAGCTAGCGTACAAGCCAATAAACCACCAGTCTTGTTGTGACTCCTGGTCATTCAGATGAGCTTCTAAGGTGAAAGCTGATTGGAGTACCCGTACCATTTTAATTTCCCTTCTCCACATCAAAGCCATACCACCTGATCTGTTCATAGCTTCCACTACTATACTCTCCTCAAAACTAAGTTTCCTCCTAACATTCTCCATAAACCTTGATTTGTTCTTAGTCTCTCTAAAAAAAATCATATTAGGGGAGAGGAGGTTATTAGCCTCCTTCAGCTGGGGAATTGTCAAGGGGCTCCCTGCACCTTGGCAATTCCACACCAGCACTCTCATATTCCTTGGGGAGGCCAGGATAGGCTGGTCTCCACTCCCTCAGCTATGATCTCTTCACCTCCTATTCCTCACTCTGCTTATTCCTCTTTAAATTCTGCTCAGTCATCTCAATATCTTCCATATCCATCTCTATCTGGCTACTCTTTCTCTTTCCTTGAGTTTCCAACATCACATTATTTCCATTCAGCTCTCTCAAAGGTCGTCTGGCTCTAACTTGTGGTTTATACTGCCTCTTTCCTCCCTTGACCTGTTTGATGTTTGGTTCCTGCTTCTGTTCTCCGG